TTAAGCTAAGAATATTCCTTTGTCTATAATATGTTGGCTTCATTACAATATTTTAATTTTTATATAATTTATAAGCACTTTTAAATCGTAGATTTATTTTCAGACATTCATAACTTAATATMAAAATTAAAATATCTTAAAATAGCCAATGTAGATACACAGGTAATGTTAGTAACTTAAATTTAGATGATCGATGAATTCACTTTAATATTTAAAGTAATAATGCATGGATAGTTCTGCTAAACCTAAATTTGCTATATTGCGCATAGGCGAGAGAGAGAAAACAAAAAGAGCGCTGATGCCTAATATCTTCTTTAGAGGACGTGATATCCGCATGTGTTGTCTCCATCTTACAAGTGTGTAACACAGCAATTTTTATGCTCAGCAGAACACGTATAACTCTGTTGGTATAAAATTTAGAGTAAATTGACCTTTAATAAAATTTAAAGATAAGATTATTATCTAGAAAACCCCATACCTTTTTATTATATTTTAATTTTAAAACAAGTTATGAGTATTTTAAAATTGTAAATCAGCGTAAAAATCGTTATGTTACGCACTTGTAAGATGGAGACAACACATGCGAGTATCACATCCTCTTAAGAATTATTACATGTATAATATAATATACAATGTTAAAATGGTCATTTGTTCAGTATTTATCATGTATTTTTTACCTGAGATCTAAACATGGTCCACCTTGAGCTGTCTCCATTGATTTCAACTTGCCTTCATCTAATCCTTTAGAAATAATAGGACAAATAGTCGCAATTTGACGTAATAGTACAACAAGTTCTGAATGAGTGACATCATTAAGTGCTGGAGCTGAGTTGGCGCACAGTATTAATCTTGAGCCTTGACGTAGCATTTCTCTAGCCAACGGTAGTATTCCCAAAACTATATCAATACCACTGTTATCTATGAAAATTGCAATTTTTTGGTATGGCTTGTAGCATATTTTTTCAACCCACTGATCCAGACTGTCAATTAACCAAGGTCTAGCTGTAAATAATACAAAAAACCAAATTAACCTAATTAAAAAAAAAATTTTTTGTCTATGAATTCTTACCAGGTATTCGATTCCTTGCTTGTTTAAAATCAAATTCACCAGTTTTCATTAGAGCTACGGTTTCCTTAGCACCCCAATCAAAAGTATTTCCTGCCAAGACACCCATGATTAGTTCTTTTTGTCTTTCCTCTAGATCTAAAGAATCTAATTCTTCTAATCGTTCTTTAAGACATGTTAATGCATATTCATTTTCTGTTTGTTTTTGCTGAAATATGTATTGTTTGTATAATTGTAAGTTATATTCAAAAATATAAAATCTTACAGTTAAATACGGATCAGGAAAATCAAATTCTTTTAGACATTGATTGATCGTATCAAGAAGACCCCTCACAGTCAAATTACCATAAGCACTAAATAGTATAAAAAAAATATATACATAAAAAGAATTTAAAAAAAGAAAAAACATACAAAGGTTTTATTTTAAGCAATTGCACCCGAGAAATAAATTTTTCCTTGAACATGGCAGCCCGTTTTTCAGCTGTATCACTAGTTGGTTGACTGGCAATCGCATAATTCACATAATTTTCTATACTTTCTTCAAAGCAATTTAACCAATATTCTCTGAAAATAATTTAAATTAATGATCCTTTATAATTTACTTGTTAAAATCCTTACATAACATCTTTGACTTAATTTAACTAACTTTTTTTTAGTTTACAAACTTTTCATCAACTAAGATTTATATTCTATAATCAATTATTCAATCATGATAAAAGATAAAATCATTTCAAAAATAACACTAACCTAGCTTCTTTATCTGAGTTTAAGTCAACTGTATCTGGAATGTAACTAGATGGATCTTTGAGTAGTGGGCAAAATGTTAAAGGGGATTCCCAACGATCAAGTTCGAGTTGGTCTACTCGTTTGCCAAACGATAACTGAGTACGGTTACTTCCACTACCAGCATAATTTTCCAACCATGAAAACTTGTCACCATCTGCATATATTTCCAAATATTTAATTATGTATTTAACAAATTGCAGATATATTACAATATATAGCATTACCACATTCTTCAGTGCCTTTTAAAAACGCCCCAATTGCTCCTAAATATCCTTCATGCCTCAAAAACAAACTTTGTACAGTTCCTCTAGACCAATATTTTATAGAAAATGAAATAGTATGCATGCTGAGTGAACGATTTCTTAAAAAATAACCACCAAAATATACCTAAAAAAAAATTGCTAAACATTATGACATTATGTATATATTTTAGATTCTGAACGAAGTGATGAATGTATTGATTTTACAATGATGTGTGTGTTTTTTTTTTTTATGTTTGTTTTTGTGTCTGTGTA